CCTGATAGTAACGACGAGGAAAACATTGTTCGGTCGGAGGAAGAAATGACAAATGAGCGATTGTTGTCAACATGGAGAAGGGCTATGACAGCTCAACAATCTGCTGAAGCTAGAGAAGAGGAGTCATTGTCTCCGTTGTTACCCCCAACACCGAAACTTGGGGATGATAATGACGAGGAGACATTTAGGTCATGTGACATTGGCCCTCTTATTCCTGGACTTGTTGGTTTGGTCCAAGTTGTCATGAGAAACAGATAATCTGATAATCCCTTACCAACGCAACGGTTGTTGTCTGATATTAACCGAGCTACGACGATGGTGTTCAACACTAACTCGTGGTGTTATGCAGTTCATTACGTGAAATCTAGAAGTTTTTTTTTCCATATTAAATTTCATGTGTGTAAAATTAATCATGCAATTAATATAATATTTTTTATGTTTTATTAACAATAGGGCTACCAGAAATGACGATATTGATTAATATAAATCATAATTTAGAAAGAGTTCCAACAGTTGTTGCTTTTATGGACTCTATGAGCCCAACTGGAAACAGAAATTATACTATTAATTTGAAGGTATGTTTAGTGAATTTTTTATACATTAAAAGATATTATTTTGTAATTAATTTAAAATATTTATTTCAGGACCTAACTACAACGATTGGTGCAAGCTTACATTACAAAGTTAAGCAGCACCAACAATATGGGGAAGACATTATTGTGGGTTGTGTGTTAGTTTTGAAACAGGTAATATTTGTTGTATAATAATAAATTATATGTTATTTATGCGTTGAATTTAATTTTTTTTCTTCAGGTTGTCGTGTTTGCCCCAACCCATATCTGTGGTCCTTACTTCTTGAATATAACCAAAAATAATGTACAACGGGTGGGTATAGGCAGTCAAATTTAATTTATTGTGTAATTAATATTGTTTATTAAGCAATTATTATTCTTTAACAAGTGTATGTTACATTTTTTTTTTCAGGTTATTCTAAAGGATATTTGATTTAATGAGGAAATAATGTTTGTAGTTTTAGGTCCGATATAATAATTAAAATATTATTTAAAAACGTATATAATTTGATTTTTATAATTGAATATATGTATTTAATGCAATGTTAAAAAATTTGATATTATACTGAATATTATAAATTTGACAAATTGAAATAATACTAATAGAATATAATTTTGTTTTATATTTTATCAGAAATGTCTCATAGAGGAGTAGATTATGTGCCTGATAGTAACGACGAGGAAAACATTGTTCGGTCGGAGGAAGAAATGACAAATGAGCGATTGTTGTCAACATGGAGAAGGGCTATGACAGCTCAACAATCTGCTGAAGCTAGAGAAGAGGAGTCATTGTCTCCGTTGTTACCCCCAACACCGAAACTTGGGGATGATAATGACGAGGAGACATTTAGGTCATGTGACATTGGCCCTCTTATTCCTGGACTTGTTGGTTTGGTCCAAGTTGTCATGAGAAACAGATAATCTGATAATCCCTTACCAACGCAACGGTTGTTGTCTGATATTAACCGAGCTACGACGATGGTGTTCAACACTAACTCGTGGTGTTATGCAGTTCATTACGTGAAATCTAGAAGTTTTTTTTTCCATATTAAATTTCATGTGTGTAAAATTAATCATGCAATTAATATAATATTTTTTATGTTTTATTAACAATAGGGCTACCAGAAATGACGATATTGATTAATATAAATCATAATTTAGAAAGAGTTCCAACAGTTGTTGCTTTTATGGACTCTATGAGCCCAACTGGAAACAGAAATTATACTATTAATTTGAAGGTATGTTTAGTGAATTTTTTATACATTAAAAGATATTATTTTGTAATTAATTTAAAATATTTATTTCAGGACCTAACTACAACGATTGGTGCAAGCTTACATTACAAAGTTAAGCAGCACCAACAATATGGGGAAGACATTATTGTGGGTTGTGTGTTAGTTTTGAAACAGGTAATATTTGTTGTATAATAATAAATTATATGTTATTTATGCGTTGAATTTAATTTTTTTTCTTCAGGTTGTCGTGTTTGCCCCAACCCATATCTGTGGTCCTTACTTCTTGAATATAACCAAAAATAATGTACAACGGGTGGGTATAGGCAGTCAAATTTAATTTATTGTGTAATTAATATTGTTTATTAAGCAATTATTATTCTTTAACAAGTGTATGTTACATTTTTTTTTTCAGGTTATTCTAAAGGATATTTGATTTAATGAGGAAATAATGTTTGTAGTTTTAGGTTTTTTTTCTAATTTGGATGATTGTAATTTAATGTTTTATTTGGATTGTAAAATTTAAATTTGGAGAACATTATTGTTAAATATTGGTAAAATTTTGCACTTCATTTAATTACATGTATTTGTTATTGTTGTTGTTGTTTTTTAATTGTGTAATGAATAATAAAAACTGTAATAAATCAATGTTAAAAATTTAATTAATATATGGTCCTTGTAGTTAATTTTTAACAATTGATAGAGGTCAATGTCTAAACCCTAAACTTCATGTTATTTTATTATTTTAGTGTTCCACATCTGCCTATAAATATAAGAATATGTGTGTGTTTTATGTTCAGACAGTTGAGAAAGAAAAACCTTCCAAGTTCCTTTTCAACTTAAGATACAAATATTGTAGCAGTGACTTCGAAGTATGGTTCATCAACAATGTTTGCTCTTGTGTTTCAAGATGTTCAGATATTTGAAACTCGGTATGGTCTTGATTATTTGATACAAATGTCATCAAGTGGAAGACTTATCAAACTAAATGAAGACATGAAACCAACGATTGGTGCAAGCTTACATTACAAAGTTAAGCAGCACCAACAATATGGGGAAGACATTATTGTGGGTTGTGTGTTAGTTTTGAAACAGGTAATATTTGTTGTATAATAATAAATTATATGTTATTTATGCGTTGAATTTAATTTTTTTTCTTCAGGTTGTCGTGTTTGCCCCAACCCATATCTGTGGTCCTTACTTCTTGAATATAACCAAAAATAATGTACAACGGGTGGGTATAGGCAGTCAAATTTAATTTATTGTGTAATTAATATTGTTTATTAAGCAATTATTATTCTTTAACAAGTGTATGTTACATTTTTTTTTTCAGGTTATTCTAAAGGATATTTGATTTAATGAGGAAATAATGTTTGTAGTTTTAGGTTTTTTTTCTAATTTGGATGATTGTAATTTAATGTTTTATTTGGATTGTAAAATTTAAATTTGGAGAACATTATTGTTAAATATTGGTAACAATATGGGGAAGACATTATTGTGGGTTGTGTGTTAGTTTTGAAACAGGTAATATTGGACCGAAATTATTCAATTAAAAATCAAGGGACTAAAATCGCACTATTACAATCTTTTAAGGACTAAAATTACTCAATTAAAACCTTGAAGATTAAAATTGCACAATTATAATACTTGAGAGATCAAAAATATAATTAAGCCTAGTTTTTATTTTCCTTTTACTCTATTTTTCCATAATTTTTTTTTTCAAATATCTCACACCATCTTAATAATTACTCCAAATTACTCATAATTATTAATTACTTACATATATTTAATTTTAATCATTATTATCATTTATTTTTATTTACCTTTTAAACATAATACACAAAAGCACATAGATGATTGAAATTAGCTATTTTACACTATTTTAAATAAAATCTTAGTTTAAGTATTGTAATTAATAAAAGTATGATTGAGAGAATTTTTTTTTCTCACTAAAATAAACATAATTGTTTTTTCAAAAGTTACTCGACTACTGAAATTAATGATATTTTACACTTATATAGTGAAAATAATAATATTATTATTATTAATAACTAATACTTTAGATATATAGATTAAATATTAATTATATATAAATAAAATTTCTTGTGAATTATCTATATAAATAAATATTATATATTTTAATATATAAATCATATTAATTTAAGATTTATATATTTTTAATGAAAAACATATAATAAATACAAATTGAGATTGATAAAAATGTTAAAAAATCATCGGTAAAACTTTTTAACTTGGTAAAGATAATCTTGGATAGATAATAACTATAAATAATCTATTACACAATCTATTAATAATTTCCTGTAAAAAAAAAAACTAAAGATAATCTTTTTTTTGGTGAGGAAACTAAAGATAATCTAGAGATTATAATATCAATTTCATCTTTCACTTTTTTCTTTTCTTGATGTGTGTTATAAAAAAAATTACCACTTAAAAGTTAAAATTTTAAGCATTTTTTTGTGTTATATAAAGGAACAAATTCAACTACATAGAATAAAATAAAGCAAGTCAATTAAAGAGAACGAACAGAAAAATAGAACAAATCAATGACACTATCATTTATATATCAGAGTTTCACAAAATAGGAGAATGAGATGAGAACAATATTACAATATTATATATGAGCAATGAACAATAGTGCAGTATTATTAGCAAAGAAAAAATGGAGAAGACAGGAGCATAGAAAAAAAAGATAAAAAACTCACTTGAAAAGTCACTTCAAACAATCCTTCGAAATCCGATGGGTTTGGATGGGATTGTTTTATGAATTTGGTATTTATAGATAACACTAGAAAGTCCTTCAAAATCCCTCTCACACAACAATCCTTTAAAATCCTTATATTTTTGAATACCAATGGATTGTTTTTAAGTTGTAAAAAATCTCAAATGAATACCAATGGATTTTAATGGACTCTTTAAAAAATCTTGAAAATCCTGATTGAATACCACTGGATTATTTTTAAGTGACATAAAATCCTGATTGAATACCAATGAATTTTTTTACTCAAAAAAAGTCTTTTAAAATCCTACGAAATCCTAAACCAATACACCCCCCTAAAGATAATCTTTGATAGATAATAACTATCGAAAAAATTAGTGTAACAAAAACCTATTGAAAAAGTAAACAAATTAAATAACATTGAAACTTTTAATAAAGTTGGCAACAGTGACAAACAGACATCAACACAGGACTTTTGAGTTTTGACACATTGAAAGTTGTAAACTAGGCGAATCAGAACCCAACACTGTATTCACTTTCAGATTCTTAAGAGAAGAAAGAGTGCGATAATAATTTGAATAATTTAATGCTCCATTCTTTCCAAATCAGTTATTTGAGTCTTCAATTTCAAACATAAATCAAGGCCAAAAGTTTCCCAACACATCACAAAACCAATACAAACCTAAGATTTTCGACATGGCTGAGAAACAGCTCATCGTTGCCGTCGAAAGTACTGCTGCGTTGGGACCCTATTGGGATGCCATTCTAATGGATTATCTCGAGAAGATTATCAGGTTCCCCTTCTCTCTCTTTTATTTATCAAAATTAGGGATTTTCTTTTGGCGGGTTTAGGTTCTGATTTTGATTTTAATATTAAATAAGGTTAAAGCTTTGATTTTGGTGCTGTGCTCAAAGTGGGGTTCTTTCTTTTAGGGTTGATTGTTATTGATTTTGAAAATAGAGAGAAAAAAGAGGAAGTGCTGGTGACTGGTGTTGTAGCTTTTGGTGGTTTTTTTTTTTTCGTTTTGACTGTTGGTGTTCTTAAATTGATGTCGTTTGTGTTTTTGGTGGTGAAATTGGATGAAAGATTTAAAGTTTTTTTTTATAGCTGATTTGCAAGATTATTGAGGAACCATTTGTTTCTTAATTTTGTTGCATTTTCAATGAGGGATTTAACAAGTATGCGTACCAATGAAGGATCACCATATGGAATCAAACCCAATGTGATATTTATGCTATTTGATCCAACCAGTTGAGTCAATCTTTAAATCCTTAATGGCAGTCATGACAAGTTTTTCTTGCCCAAAATAATATTTTAAAGAAAGGCAATGGCAATTAATTATACTCTAAAAGCAAAACCTTGTCAAACATATTGTTAAAATTTTATAAAGCAAAACATTGTCTAGCATATTGTTTGAAATTTATTATTGCATATGACAAACAAGACATTTACTGCTGCACAAAAATTAAAATATTATTTATATTCAAGCAAAAGGATTTATTCTCTTAAAAAAAAGACCTCTTGAATTATAGGCAACCGACAACATTCTTTCTTTTTTCATTGGTGGCAATTGAAGGTTCGTTAGGCAAAAGACTATTTAAAAGTGATTGGGGGAAAAAATTCCTCCTAAACAGAGGCACAAAAAGGAAAACAAGTGTGCTGTTTATGCTGTCATTTGATTTATTTAGTTGGACCAGAATGGTCACTTATTTAGGGTTGACATTTTTTTTATGGTTTAGATTTTATTTGCCTTATTGTTGCTCAAGGTCATGGTTGTTCCATGGGGGTTGCTGTTACTAAGATGTAGAGAGATTGGTCAGCGTTGTTACATTGGCATGTTTTATGTCTTTGTTTTATCTTTTTTTTTTTTTTTTTTTTGAGGATTTGTTAT